CCTCAGGATACCAGCTAGTAATTCGCTTTTTAGTACTGCTTCTAAACGGTCTCCAAAAAAGCAAACGATGAACACATACGCATGCCAATAGGGTCAGAATGCGCCTTGAAAAGAAGAGAATGGAAGCAAAATGAATGCTGGAAGTAAATCTTCCTGACAAATTTTCGTCTTCGGTGAACGGCTATGGCCGAAAAACAAAGTGGCGTGCTGTGTTTATTTTTGTGTTTGCGTGTGAAAGTGCGTGTTTATTATGCAACTGTGTGTGTATGTGTGCAGAGCTCACACTTAATGACAGATCGATTAATTAGCACGAAGGAGCTAATGTTTTTGTCAAGCTACGCGCCTCACAGATGACTGTTTCAACATTACTGCACGTATACAACAAAATCTAGGCCGAAAAAATAATAACACTAGCATATTTTGCGGTGCATCATCCGTTGGTCTGTCTGCTAACACCAGGATTGCCAGCAAGCTGACTGTTGGGCAATGCAGCGCAGGTCAAAACAACTGGAGAAATTTTCAGTTGGACAGTTAGAGAGCGCGCTTCAAACTCTAGCTAATCAAAGTGCTTCAAATATGAGAAGCGACGGCACTCACAGATAATTTTTTGGACAGCACGTACAAAAAACAGCCACTTGCTCACGAAGATGACCTTGGTTTTTTTGCTCCATAGTAATTTATAAACAAGCTAGACGCATTTCTGTATTATTATTACGCCCCAGCATCAATTTACCATCGAAATGAATGCGCGAATCGCAAATGGACTGTAGTCCCACGAAATAATATGTTCGTGACTTTCGTATATTATTTGAGTCAGGTTTGGAATTGGAAAACCTGAAAAACGCGTTCGACCACGCTCCAGCAATATCAGGATTTGTTACATTTTCATTATCACAATGCTGACAAATAAACCAAACAGTATCCATCAAAATTTTTTTTCCTAAAAGAAAGGCTTACTAAAAAATGGCTCATCAAAAAATTTTCTTCTATGCTGACTAAAAACTTCTAACTCTAAAATTTCTGTACCAAAAAGCCTTGATTACATGAGAAAATAAAACTAAATGAATTTCTGAAATTTCTCGGTCACGAAAATAAAAATATTATTGGAGCACGGCATTTTGTGAGAATAAAATAAGACAGGTGAAAATTTATAAAGTTTAGCGCTGTTTGAAAGGCCTACGTTTTAAAAAAAAAAAAACTCTTTTACCGAAAAAAAACTCTTTTAACATTTTCTTTGAAAAAGCGCAGCCAAAGCGCTTTTCGAAGGAGATATTGTGTCTCTGTGAAGGAAAAGAAATGTAACCATCGTCAAGGGCTAATCACTAAGCTAATCACAGAGGGTTAATCACCTAGGCTTTTCTGGAAAGCCAATATCCTTCACAGTGATTGAAATCAAAGTTTGAATTCCAG